AATAAGTGAAAACTACGTATTGACAGCAGCCCACTGTGTTATCAAGTAAGAAAATTACTAAACGTGATTATAATTTTATCCTACCAATGCTTCGGAGCAGTGCTGTAAAGAAATAGTACAGCGCAGCAAGAAGTCACTATTTGGGCCTCTCTTTAAAAAGCTTTGTATACTTTTACTCCATTAATGAGCTTTTTTTGTGTATTTTCTTTCAATCTATTTCAGTGCAATTCCATCATTGACGCTACTGCGTCTGGGCAGCTCATTCCCATACGAGGGCATGATCGTTCCTGTGGCCTCCTTAGCTGTTCACCCAAATTACAATACCACCGCCATGTTCGACAGTGACGTAGGTGTTGTGCGAACCGAAAACCCGATTACCTTTACTGACACCATCAGACCGATACCTCTGCCACCTCTTGGCCGGCCAGTTATAGCTGGCACGCGTATTGTAGTAGCTGGATGGGGAGACACATTGGTAAGTGTCAAGGACAACGTGAGTTTTTGAAAACATTTTCAGCTGCAATTTTGTTTGGATTGCCTGCAGTGATTACTTTCTATTTTTAGTATTGATTGGGTACCGTAGCATTTGAACTACGAGAAGTCGAACTTCCAGTGGTTTCCCACTTTAAGTGCAAACTTACTTACAATATTCTTACGAAAAACGAGTTCTGTGCGGGAATCTACACAGGAGGAATGGGTACATGTCAGGTAGGTACTTACAGCATTATGAAATTGTTAAATTATTTTGAATTCTAAACTATACTTACGAGCAAAGTATGGAATCACCATCTTGTGTTTTGTTCCCAACGATCTGAAGAACTCAATGACTATTTATGCATCTATGGTATTAAGTTAAAGTTTGTAATGTAACCTTTAAACTGGTACCATTTTTAATTTAATCTTCATAGTCGTTTAGCTACAAAGATTACTCAAAACGAATGGGGTGATTCCATACTTTTGCTCGCGAGTGTATTATCCAAAGGACACAATTGTTTTCTCTTTTTTTTTTCATTATTTTAGAGAAAAAAAACATAACATTGGTTGATATCGTGAGTTACTTTAGTTAATAAAAGGACACTCGATTTGTGGAAAACAATAACTCGCATGTTGTAGTGGAGCAATGCATCTGAAAAAATACTGAAACGATTGGCTAGGCTTTCATTCGGGAAAACTGATGGAATAAGAAATCAGGAAGAATGGGACATTCGCCAACCTGTATCTTACATCCAATACAACTTATTAATTACTACTTATTTTAATTTAGGGAGACTCGGGAGGCGCTGCCGTCCAAGATGACATGGCAGTGGGCATCGTGTCATTCGCGCGAGGGTGTGGTTTTCCACTGTCGCCCAGTGTCTTCGTGAATTTAGCAGCTAAATCTATACGCACATACATTTACGAAGAAACTGGACTATGAATCGGGCCAGTTTAACCGCGTATGTAAATTTTCTGTTGGATTTAGTTGTAGATAAGAAGATTGCCGCCTCCGCTGACCGCGTTTTTGTTCATTGATCAAAGGATTATGTCTGTCGTCTCAAAGGTTCTGGTGCGATTGTCAAATGGGATACCCTATTTATGTACTTACTAGCTGACCCGGCGAACTTCGTACCGCCTTAGCGTAGAGATTTTCTTAATATTTTTTTCCGTAAGAACCATCCTTGGACTTCCACAAACATTTAAAAAAAAGAATTATCGAAATCGGTTCAGCCGTTCACACGTGATGCCGTGACAACGCGAAACGGGTTTCATTTTTATATATATAGATTTACTTATTTTAAGATTTTTACTTGTATGTACTTATTTACTTATATTAAGATTATGTACTTATTTTAAGATTATAAATTGTATCCTACTAACCACTATGAACTGTAAAATTGTTTGAAATAAACGTCATTATTATTATTATTATATTGTTTCTTAATTTATTTTCTCTCCTAAGAGGCAAATTTTAGGAGCACGGGCCGAAGCCAAATGCATCCCAATTACTTTAATTTAAGCAATATTCAAAAATTTTCTTACTATCCTGCATGTATTCAGAATGGTCGCTTTCTGTATTAATTTATAAATAGTTGGGGCTATGTCCAAGGTGCGTAGGCTAGTGTGTAGCTGTCTAGGGATGACTCCCGTGGTGGAGATTATAATTGGAACTACTAAGACTGTGGTTACACGCCATTGCGTCCTGATTTCTATTGAAAGATCTCTGTACTTAGCTAGTTTTTCTGAGTGTGTAGTTTGTAAGTTGTGCGTATTGCATACTGCTATATCAATTAAATATACGGTCTTATTAGTTTTGTCATGTAAAGTTATATCGGGTCTATTGTAGTGGATTGTTTTATCAGTAATAATGGTTCTATCCCAGTATATTTTGTAATTTTCGTTGTCTAGAACTGTGTCAGGCTGGTATTTGTAATATGGAGTTTTTTGTGAAATGAATTGGAACTTGAACGCTAAATGTTGATGGATTATTGCTGCTACTTGGTCATGCCTATGTTTGTAGTCCGTTTGTACGATAGCTTTACACGCGCCTGTAATGTGCTGTATGTGCTCGGGGCTGCTATGGCATCTTCTGCATGTATCTGTAATATTCGGCTTCTTCATGATGTATTTCTGGTAGTTTTTGGTGTCAATCACTTGATCCTGAATAGCGATCTATTATTATTATTTACCTGACTAATTACAATATTGTATTAAATAAATATAGCACGTTAAGCCATGGTGTATGGAGTCATTTTAGGTGGATATCATGGCACATATCATAGTTTGCTCCCTACCACTTCTAAGTAACTACTGCGTAATGTTAGTGCATATGCATGTAAGCCTTGTCACAGAAGCAGAAGGTACGTGGAATGTAGGTGTATTCATTCTTTAACTATTAAAGCACTAGGTCCCTTGTGTTGGGTTGGTAATCAGTACGTACGTTCTCAATAAAAACAGGTGACTATTTCTCACAGAAAGTAACGAGGTCACAAACAATAAGGTAAGGCATGAAGTAGGTAATGAATATTAAGAAACTCAGGTCAGCTGTTTTATGTGTTTTGTATTGTTTGTTTAGTGTGTTTCGCATTAGCGAGAGGTTTACAAACTATCGGCGTTATAATTTATGACCGTTTTCTCAACAGAACAATTTTACAATAATATTAGGAGAAAAGCTTCTAAATGGCTTTTTACATATTCAAAGTATAAAAGTAAAACAGGTATGTGCATTACACGTATAATAATTACCTACACTATTCATGAATAAATAGGTATAGGCTTTCCACTACGCTCGAGCTCTTCCGACAGAATGTAATCGCAAAATAATTGCAACAGTAGCTGGCAATCGGGTTTGAGGGCTCGCATTGCCCGGGATATTTCCGGGTGTAATCTGGGGGCGCATAATTGCTGGTTGCACCGAACAACGTCGCTCATTAGTGCAATGTTCAATTAGAGCGCCGATGGACGCGCGCCGGCGTCGCTGAGCCGATCGTAAAGCTCGGTTTCCACCAAGGCGGAGCGGAGCGGAGAAATGAAATAAAATAAAAATCATTTATTTTCAGACAAAGCAGTCCATAGTTCGGTTAGTAACAATTTGATCTAAGAGACTATGTTAGTAGAGTTAGTAACAATGTTTGAAATGTTTTGAATAATGTTTGTTTAACCTTTAGTTTAACTTTTTTTGTTGTTTTTAATACTGTATCTCATGTTGATTGCTCAATAAATAACCAATCGGTTTTCATTCAGTCAATTTAATTCAATCAGAATAAAATCTGATAAGTTATTCTAACATTTCTCTGCTCCGCTCCACTTAGCCTTGGTGGAAGCCGAGCTTAAATCTTGCTTCCAGTAGCAGGATATTCGTAACCGAATATCTTTTAAAACTGATAGGTAGATTTTTTCCATCCAAAAATATTATTTTTTAAACAAGTGCTAAATGAATACATGTGCAATATGCGTACCTACCTACACCACACGTGCTAGGTAGTTATTATATCTCACTGTAAGCTCAACATAGTTTTGCTTTGTCTCAATTAATTTAATACCCCTATTAGTAACAATTAGTGAAACAAACACGGAAAACTTTTATTCAATTCGTAGCTAGTAGGTTCGTAGCGTGCAGTGGTGGTAGAGTTCGTAGCACGATACAATTTAAATACTTACATAGGTAAATTATTACAACTGTTAATAATAATTCTAGTAAAAATCTATTTTCATACAAAACCGCCTCAAGATTAACGAATTAGGTGTGAACTGTGAATGTAGTTATTTCAATATCGGTGTAATGTTCATACATGTACAAAGATGTCCTAGATAATTCCTTTGATGTCGTGCGTGCGCCTGAGTCGCATAGTTACTACAACATAATCCTGTCTTTAAACATCAACCTACACGTACGAAGTTTGTGTGAAAACTGACGTGTGGGTGTAGATCAGAGGAACCGGCCGTTCTTGGAAGTTCCTGCCGACTGATGAGCAACGAAAGAGCCGTGTCAATACCGACGTAGAGCAGAGCTCGGTGATCGATGCCCCGCTGTTTATTTGTATATGTCATACTGTACAGTTGCATACTAAGATTCATGGAACTACAAGTATTGAATGAGTACTGACTGAGTTGTTAAACAAAATCAAATAGTCGTATTTTAAAACAATCTCTACATTGCCGATTTTTATTAATTACGGGTAATTTAAAATTTATGGACCAAACTAAGTTCTTTTATAATTAAGTGATTCGAAAAAATGCGAAGTTTTAACTTCTACGTTTCGGAAACTATTTCGGCGGTTGATTATTTTTATAAGCTTTTTTGTATTTCAGGTATTATTTGGCCGTAGGTCTATAATTAACGAAAGTTAAGAAACGTTTAAAGTGGCAAAAGACGTGTATTATTGTAGAGTACGATAGAAACAACTGTAAAAACTTCAAAATCAACGAAAGCTTATTCCGCAAAAGACATAAAATACGTTAAGTTGAAAAATTAAGCTTAGGATTAATTAAGTAGGTAATAAAATAATTTAAATTGTACTTACAACCATCGGATGCCTTCAGACGAATTCGAAAAAAACACAAAGAACAAAACCAAAAACGAAATAAAAAAGCGCATCACAATATAATTTTAAACTCCGCAAACTGTTCGCACTTTGATTTCATTAACAAAAAAAAAAGAAAGAAAAGAAAAACAAAAGAGCGCGTAATATTTTGGCGGGAAATGCGTTTGGTGACGCACGTAGAGCTCGGCGAGCATACGCGGGGTTGAGCTCGCGCGAGCTGCGTCCGCGACAGAATGCCTGCGACCGCCGCCGCCGGCCCGCCGCTCGCGGACAGTGGTCAGGCGAACGCGCCGCCGCCACTCACGCTGACCCGTCAAAGATAAACCACATGTACAGAAGCGACAAAATAAGATAATTCTTGTTTTCCGCTGATTAAGTAATTCAAGTAATTTTTAGCGAGTAAGTTACACAAAAATATGGTTTTGAAATAAAATAAATTATATAAAAATAAAATAATGTTTAAGAAAGACCATAATAATGTTCGGAACATAGCACAAACTACATAGTTTATTTCTGTTAAGTAGGTCCAAATGATGACTAGAAGAAAACGTCATTAATGGTATTAATGGTTACCTTACATTTTTAAATAAACTTTATAGCACGTTGAACAATACGCTTTTTAGCGAATTTTTGTATCGTTTAAAAAAAAGTAAATTTATCAATCCGCATCTCTGAGCGACTCATACACTATAGGCAGAAAACCTAACACGGCACTAACGCATCTATAGCCCGAGCCCGTCATCCGAGGGCGTAAGCGAGCGCGGCGGGCGGGCGGGCGGCCGCTCCCCACGCGAGCGGCACAGCCCACTTATCAATTCACTCGAGTGGGCATTCATTCATTGTGAGCATTGTGTCTATTATGCGCGGATTCGGTGCTCTTTACCCGTTCACATGCACGTAATGGAAACTAATAAGAAACTTTTATGCGAGTACTGGAAAGGACACAATGACATTGAATAGATTTTTTTATTGAAATAAATGTAGGGATCTAACTAACTAACTTGCTTCTACATTCTTTTCGAACTTCTTTTCTCTTCGTATAAATATCGAAGGTCAATAGAGCTACGAAATTATTAGCTGACATAATTACACACAATGTTAATCACAAAAGGGTTTCTAAATGAAAATCTTAAGATAATATCATAGCATTTATTAATTGATTATCAATTTATATTTCTTTACATAAAAAATTGAGAAAATTGCATATTTTGCCCATGATACATAATTCTGTTTTGTGCTGTAATTTACCAGATTTAGTAAGAGTCGGTATACCAATTACACTATTTGTATCGTGGTACGTGTTTAGTCGACATACTATACTTATTAATGATACTTAATAAAATCTACTGACATCAATAATAAACTTACAAACAAATATTAATATTATACCTTATAACGCCACAAGTTCTTGATTTTTGAAACAATAGCGCAGAGGAGCGCTTAGAGCACATAAAGTGGAGTGATTTCAGAAAATAGCATATTCTAAAAGCGCTACTGCGCCCCTAAAAATATTACTCACTTTGATGAAGAAGTGATCTTTCTTCCTCTATCGTGCCAATAGGCATTGTGGTCTGTAGCGTATTTTTCTTAGGAACAAAAACTTAAAACATAGCAACTAAGTATTCGATAGAATACATCTGAATGTGAATGTATTAATCATAACAATAAAATTGCTAATTACAACATCAATAATGTACATGGAAATTATTTTTAAGACAGTTGGATCTATTATTGCTATAATATTTAGTTATATCAGACACCTATTATTTCTATACCGACTCGGCGTCATTCGTATTTCGTATAAAATTGTATAGGTACAGCTTGTAATAAACCTATTTTACACAAATAAAATTGTCAATAAATTGTACAATATTAAATATGATTGTGGTCACATTTCATTGTTTAACTTAAATTATTACTCTGCTGCTCAAACACAACAAATTCTTTAAATACTGTGGGCGATATTTAACTTGAAAATTTTCATATTTTTTAAATAAAAATGCTTGTTCAATTTGAGCAACTTAATAAAATTATTAAAAAAAAATAGAACCTCTTAATAACGCTGCAAAAATGCATGAAGTCGATCACAAAAAAGAACAGGATTTACTTTACTAACGTATTCCGTCTTTAAATATCTAGAAAATATTATAAACTATTTTCAATCGTTACTGATTTCATTCAATACTATGTTCCACACAAAAAAGATACTGATATGGGTTATTCATTATTTTTAACTGAGATTTATTCATTCTTAATTTCGACTCATCTTTTCTGTGTAGAGCACACCCAAGGTCACGTTCATGCACGAAGTGTGCGGCGTGGTCTTGGCGCCGTTTGCACACATTTACTATACACATCTCTAAAACGTCAACGTGCCCTAAGCACTGAGAATTGTCCAATTGATATTATAAATGCGCGCGGAAACCACAGTTTTAAGCGATATTCAAGCTCCGCGTGTGCAAGAACGCGCACTAAGCGTCACTATTGTGAGTATCGAAGCGCAGGTTGCTATTGCGGTTTTTTTCTTGTGTACTGCTTGACTATTGTGAAGCTGAAGGTGCGCGGCTGTCAGGCGAGATGAGACAGGTCGTCGAGCTCGGGCGGCGGCTGCTGGCCCGCCGCGCCGCGCGCGAACACCGGCTTCGTCACCACCGACACCGGCGCCTGGACAAACTGCTAGTCAGTACCGGCAAGGAATATGTCACGTGTCGAAGATACGATGTTTCGTCGAAAGTAAAGCTCGGGCTACACGCAACCGGATTTTTTTATTTTGTGGATTCTTTTGTTCATCCATTAACCTAATTAAAATTAATGAATTTGTTGTCCTGGCTTTTTCAAAGCCTAAGAATAAATTGATTTTTATGAGGATCGACCGAGAGTCGAGTTCCGGACACGTAGCATAAAATAGTATCTTCAACGCGTGTATGTAACTAGCTTAACAGGATACACGACACCATAATTACGAAGATGAAACAACTTATATTGCAGGAGCCAAAACGTTCCTTATCTACAGATTTAGATCAATTGCAAATAAGATATTAGGTAATTTTGAAAAAATAATTAAGAATCATCTACAGGTATCGCGTACCCCAATAGGATACACAAGTTTAAAAATTCAGTAAACCCGCACACCGCCAATAAACCTAATTTCTAAAATTTTAACATTAAAAGTTATTTTTTCATCGCAAATATCGCGATATCAATAGATTCCAAGTGTAAAAATGAGATTTTCAAATTGAAACTTGTTTCTACTTGTATAAAAACAATTTATACAACGGTAAAACTGTTTGTTATTGTCAAGTTAAGTATTAAAGATCTATGTGTAAATTGAAAGTAGGCACATTTTACATGTTATTCGCAGTAGCAGTTATTTTTCTACATGATTTTACAGCAAATTAATGGAAAAGTGACTTCGGCTAAACAATAATCAATTATAAACATTAAAAAAGTGGGTTAATATTCTTATTCTAAAACTGTATGTTCACTGCGGGAAACTGTTTCTTTATAGCAGATAGATAATATAATGAAAATTTACAAAAATATGTAAGGCAGTGAACACACAGTAAGGTTGAGCAGCATCTTCATTTTACCGATCAGCACATTACCTACACAATAATGACGTTTGATGGTAACTCCTTATTGCTGAAACCACGGCTGAAAGGAAAGAGTCACGGGAAAATTAGCCAACTTTTACTCTTTAATTTTATAAACCGCATCCACCCGGAAGACGAAATCATTTATGCCATTCCGTTTGCATAGATACTGTAACTATCGATTTGTTATTGGGATGCAAAACTCAAACTCAGGCAATACGATAAATATTTTTATATAAGTAATCCCTCTTTTCTTCTTTCCAGTCACCAGAAAATAACTAATTCAGAATTTCGAAATCCACGTTTTATGAAGGATAAATTACGCGACAAGCACATCAGCCGGCCTAGGATGCGCGCCTCGAAATAATCTTATCGTCTATTTTAGACGACAAACAAAATGTGTGGCTTATCGTTTAAAATTAAGGCGATTAGAGTCCTCAATGACCTTGGGCGTTTGACCTTCACGCCGCGAGCAACACCCGCGTACCCCGCACCAAAAACTCCGATTTGACACCGATCAAAAATACACGGGCATAGGTAGATACAGAATAGAAGCTCTTTCTTCATACATTACTGCCTATTATTTTAAACTTAAATTGATGNTAAGTAAAAAACCGATGTCCCGTATTTATTTTTTTAATCCAAAACAAAGAGACGTAGCGAAAATTCAAACGTCACGAATGTAGTCCTTGAAATGTTGTATAACATATATTTTTTTCAACTATTTCTGTCCAACAGTAAAAGAGGAGTAGTCTTTACAAAATGCCCATTTGACGCGGATTGAGGACACTAATCGCCTTAATAAAACGATATAGTATACAACCCACTATTTAGTTTACAATCTCACGCATTACATTAAAACTGACGGAGTTCGCAATGCAAAAAACATCTTTGTTTCAAAATAGCGCCTATTCCAACGACATAATGCACAAGCAATGTGCCGATCTCGACCCAGCTCAACCGTCGGTACAGACCTGGCTGACCTGGCCGGCGGCGGGCTGCACGCCCACCACCATCACCTTCTGCGGCGGCTGCGCGCCCGCCGGCCCGCTGGTCACCACCACCGACTACGCAGACATGCACGCTGTAGCTACTCGCTTCTACGACCGAAGGCACTACGGCGCAGCTAGGCTACCTAGCGCCGGCCCTGTAGCCTTATTCACGTAACAAAACTTCAACGAAAACAAATCGCTGAGTTGCGATCCTATCGAGTAATCGTTCTATCGAAATGACCCTCACAAGGGTCAATACACCATACGGATTTAGAACTGTTTTTCAATGGGACGACTTCTGAACGTCGGCGAGATTTGGACTGTCAAAATACGTGAATTAGGCCACTGGCCTTGATAAGGTTCATATTTGGATGCTGGTCCTTTGGCAGACTGCGACCGGACGCGCTTTGAGCCGAGAACTTTTTAAGTTCTAAAAATTGCGAATTTACGCCACAAAACTTCCACGAGAGAGCCTCGATTTGTTAACCTTATTGGTAAAATAATTTATGGACTTTCGGCAGCTCTTTTATGGCATTTTAGCGTATCTTCTACTGGGCGCTAGAGACCACTAATCCTTCCCCTCTACCCCCAGGGCCGGCGCTGTCTACCAATCAATCTTATAAAATCTTTATTGGTCCAAAGATTTAATCCTGTCTGGACTCCAAGCACACTCTGTCATATGCTTTTATGACGCAATCATCATAATTTCACCGTTCAATCCACATTCTTATTTAAAGTTTACATTATCCTCAAAAAATATAAATAGATGAGTGTCGGCATTCTTATTATAAAGACCAATTTATTAGTTTTACATAAGTTATTGGTCAGATTGCCTAAAAACTATGTTTTATGCTTACGCTTACCCGTTACCCGGTAACAGTTACAATACTTTTGAAAAGTTTCTTTAAGAAAAAATAGAATCCTAGCCACGCTTCAATACTAGGTATACTTAAAATACAATATACACCGCATTCCACTCACTCAAACCATTCTTTCATTATATCACAAATACTTTAATTTTTGGATGTTTTTCATGCAAATCAATGGCCATACATTTTTAAAGTCGAACAACTTGATGAAAGGCACTCTAAATATCCTTTACAAGGTTTGCATCCATTCACACGTGTCTGTCATGCGTGAAATCAATCAACCAACGTGCCTTCTACTGGAAATCATAGAATATCCATGCAAAAATATTATCACACGTCAATCTAAGACAAATTTTTGTACACATAAAAAGCAAGCGGATATTGGAACAACTGAAAGTTGAAAGAATAGAATAGGACATTAATGTTATTGTTTAAAAAATATTCTAGTGTCGTTAAAGTTAATGAAGGATAAAACAAACTTTAAGAGAAAGCAATAAAGTAAGCAATACACAAATTGTTTGTGTCTATGAGTTACGTACCTGGACGTTCTGACTTCGCACGATCGTGGGCTGTGAGCTGTGGACCACGATATGGCCGCCGGCTGGCTGCGCCTGTACCAACCAAACATCGCATACCATGTAGCCATATACTTAATGAGTTTGTGAATAGTTCAAGAGCTAAACAATCTTCGGCAATTCAAAGTGGCAAGTTTTTGAAAGTTATATCATTATCCGAAAAGCCTATCACTAGATAATTGCAATGATAGTGGCGCGGAATCGTTAAGTAAAAGGATTATCACATTTAATTTTGTACTCGTCAGGTTGGTGGCTTGGTGCCACTGTCAAGTAAGATCCTGTCTCTTGCAGTGGCGCTAACTAGTGAGCGCAAATATGGTAGCTCTCACCCCTCGTTAGAAATAAGACTTGATTCAGCTAACACTTTTTACATTGTACATTACCAGTGCAACTGTACTGTACTTTATGCACCACCCTACTTTATCTGCTTGGCCCAAAGGTTGATTAGAAGAGAATGCCACAAGGCCTTTGGTATATTGTGGGCAATAAACCTTTAAATAAATAAGCAAAATAGTTATTCAATTTTTTTTTAGTATTAAGAGATGCATCTCAAAGTAATTTGATTAAACTAATTTAATTTAAATTTCCCACCTTGCCAGTTCGATTTTTTCAAGTTTTTTTATAATTTTCAAATAAGCAAAATACCTGTGGCGGTTTCTGCTGGGAGGCGACGATGACGAACTTTTGCGGCGGCGGCGTGCCCGGCGCCGGCGACTGCGGCGCGGGCGACGCGATCACCACGTTACGGGTGCCCAGCGACTCTGCAAGAGAGAATTATGTTGAATTGCTTCTTGTCAAAGACATGAATTAGTCACATGAAAAATCATATCATGAATATTATGTCGCAACCGTTTGTTTAAATTGACAAAATGCCGGAATTTATTTAGATGCCAAGGCTGATAGTTTATTTTATTTATTGTTTTATTTTAATTATGATAATGAAACTTGTGTCACTCCTCAACGTTTAACAACTTGGCGTAATTAAAGTTAGCTCTTAGAAGATCACTGACAAAGACAAGTGATTCTTTGGTTAGGTTGTAGCACAGTAGATATATGAGCTAAAGCAGTACGGAAACTTAGCCCTTTCGGCGNGGGCCTATGTGTGCGTGAACTGTGTGTATGTGTGCGTGGACTTTATGTATGTATGTGTGCGTGTACTATGTGTGTATGTGAGCGTTACGTACGTAGGTTAAGTACAGCGAATTTAACACCAGGCTGTCAATTAGTAGGCTCAAAAATTTGACAGAGAGGGTTCTCTATTTCCTATGTATTACTTTTCTCTATGGTCTTAACAACATGCGAGGGTGAGGGCGAGGGCGCGGGTGCGGCGGGCGCGGGCACGAGCGGCGGCGTGCACGTGACCACGGCCACGGCGCCGCCGCCGCCGCTCGCCGACGGCGAAGCGCGAAGCTGGCCCACTACTTACCAACAGTTTTGACAACGTGCGAGGGCGAGCGCGTAGCTTGCCAACCGTATTATGCCAGCTTACTTTTCTAGTGCGGATATTCTAGTTCTATAAAGTCTAGTATCACTGCAACCTGTATCGATCTATTGTGATCACCAAAATGAGGGCGAGCGCGCAGCTTGCCCACCATATGACGGTGATGGCGAAGGCGCGAGTATGTGACTAAGGCCACTGCGCAGCTCCTACCAGTGACGCGCGAAGCTTACCTACCACAATATGTAGCTACTTACCGACAGTCTTAACGACGTGCGACGGCGACGGCGAAGGCGCGGGCGCGGCGGGCGCGGGCACGAGCGGCGGCGTGCACATGACCGCTCGCAGACGGCGACGCGCGCAGCTTGCACACCATGATATATGCAGCTACTACTTACCGACAGTTTTAACGCGAGACAGCGAGGGCGCGAGTACGTGCCCACGGTCATTGCGCCGCCTCCGCCGGCGACGCGCGAAGCTTGCCGATCATAATATATGCAGCTGCTGAGTTGTGACTGTTGGTGAGGACCAACAGTCTTAACAACGTGGGAGGGCGAGCGCGCAGCTTGACCACCAAAATATATGCGGCTACTACTTACCAACAGTCTTAACGACGTGAGACGGCGACGGCGAAGGCGCGGGCGCGGCGGGCGCGGGCACGAGCGGCGGCGTGCACGTGACCACGGCCACGGCGCCGCCGCCGCCGCTCGCTGACGGCGACGCGCGAAGCTTGCCCACCATCTGTTGCAAACTCGGTCCGAGGTAACCATAGTCGCGTCTGTTGGACGAAAATGTATCTTAGTGAAATAGATAGGTTTTAGATATTATAACATACGGGTGCTTAAAGAATCTTAGCCATCGACAAAAATAAATATAATGCAATAAACGCGCAAAGACTGCCCACCATCTGCTGCACGCTTCTTGGGACTCAAGAAGCCGTAGTCGTATCTTTGTTCGATTAGATTTAGGTTTCAGATTCAAGAAATAAAAATACATAAAAAATCTTGGCCAAAGGCAATAAGATGCGCGTGTTCGTCATAGTATTTTTTGTACTGGTAGTATTTCGTCTAAGTGAGCTGCCACACTGGCGGATTGCAAGCGTTTTCAAAGCGGAGCGGCGACGCAGCGAATCCGCCAGTGTGGCAGGGCCTTAAGGCTCACTGACCTAAATCAGAATCAACACATAATACCTGGACATGAACGTACAAATAAAATGAGGAATAGCTAAAGTTGTCCTAAATAGACCAAAAAACAGCTAGTCCTTTGGTCATGTAATTCACTTTACTATAGGTACGATATAAAATATGAGACTAATGAAATTAAGGGACTTGACAGTTCTTGGTCGTGCTATTTTTATCTGGTAGGGACCTATGTTCAATGACAAACAAATTCACAAACCTAGCTTAGGTATGACGTCAATACAAGCCTAGTTTTCGATTTAGACTATTTATTTTTAGACTGACCTCACAACACTACTACTAATGTAAGTCAAAGTTTACGTACATTGATAAAAATGAAACCTTTGTGCCATTTTCGTAATGAACCTCAAGGTTAGCATGCAATTGATCCAAACACAATAACAAGGTAAATAAAGTTTGTGTTTTGAAATCCTTTTCATACAAATAACAGTGATACGATGAATCTGCTCGGGGGACGTCTACGGTTATGGTAATGGATTCATAAAATATCGTATTGCGTGCAGAAACCGATTGAAAAGATTTTTGCGCGACTTATTCCAAGGAAAACGGCAATGGAAACATGATTGCTTATCACACGACAAAGTTAAAATATGGATTTTTTCAAGATAACGCTATTCTTTCTTTTGAATACTTCCAATTGTTTTGAAGAATCTATAATATCTTTTATTATTATTATTACTCAATAATTTAAAATGCAAGAAAACATTTGAATGTATTCTTACGGCCAACTTTTAGACTTTAGATATTTATGGCACGATAGAGAGTTGAAAAGGTTAATAAGCGCATTCGACACTGTATGGTAAGTACATAAATGAATTAGGTTCAGGGCCTACGCTAAAACACGCGCGGGCATGCTAACGCGTATCTGTATCGAAAAATTGTATGAGCAGTGCAATATGGAGCGAACGCGTGCGACGGATTTCCACACGCGCAGCCGATGGCGGGCGCACGCCGTGAGCGTGCATTTGCGAAGCGTGTGCCTACTGCGCAGCGCAGACCTGTGATAGGCGGGTTTTAGAATTGCGCTGACCGCTCGCTGATCTTCGGCACTGACAGATAAATATTCCTTATGTGACGCTGACTACTCGGCGCCGACGGTCAGCGTGCGTTAGCGCGATTTTAAAACCAGACTTTGACGTCCCGTGCAGGCATTCGCTCCGTGCACTCGGGCAAGTTTTGACATAGGCCCTAGGGGCGTAGTGTGAGTTTACGTCAAACGAATTCGATGTCGACTGTGTCCGAAAAGTGTTGTCAGCGCCCTTAGCAGAAACTTTCAAGAACTAAAATTTTCATATATTCTTTTAACGCGCTCGCTTGTGACAACGTTTGATGTAAACTCACACTAAGCCCTCTGAAAGTTTAAAGTTAGATGACTCACTTGTACTCCTCGGGCACGTCGGGCGGCTGTCTCAGCTGTCGCACCACCGGGGCTAGCACCTTCAACAGCTGGTGCTTGAGGTTCCCGGCGGCGAGCCGGTACGCGCCGCCCAGCCCGCTCAGAGCGAACTATTTATGTATGAGAATAAACAGGTGTATGACACACTTGTACTCCTCGGGCACGTCTGGCGGCTGTCTCAGCTGTCGCACCACCGGGGCTAGCACCTTCAATAGCTGGTGATTGAGGTTCCCGGCGGCGAATGTTGCACCGGTATATATGCTGCAGCGGGACGGTACATAATTAAATCAATTAAACTATGTTGGCATGACTCACTTGTACTCCTCGGGCACGTCGGGCGGCTGTCTCAGCTGGCGCACCACCGGGGCTAGCACCTTCAACAGCTGGTGCTTGAGGTTCCCGGCGGCGAGCCGGTCCGCGCCGCCCAGCCCGCTCAGAGCGCCCTCGACGCGCTCTCCGAGCCACCGCACGCGGGGCAGAATGAACACCTACAAAACGTATGTGTTAAACCAGCCTTTCCCAAAGTTGGCGATAACGCCCCCTTGTGGGCGCTGCAGGACTGAAGGGGAGCGGTAGAAACCCAGAAAAGCGTTGCGTAGAGGCTTGGGGCAGAGTAAATACAAATGAGTAGGTCATCTTCATAGAAACGCACCGAGCGCGGTTTGTATGTGAGCGGGCCAATATACGTATGCGGCGCGCACGCACACACTAGACAAAATTCGGCGCAACCACGACTGGCTCCCCGCTAATCCCCGCTAAATTTTGTCAGTATGTGCGTGCGCGCCGCATACGTGTTGGCGCGCTCACATACAAACCGCGCCCGTGCTTTTCTATGAAGATGACCTACTCATTTGTATTTACTCTGCTTGGGGGCTGATTTGTAATATCATCTATTATAGTGGTTTTTAAGTAGGTGAAAAAATTGGGGCCTGTGACGCTGGCGAGGCCTGATTAAAAGTTTATGAAAACGCGTGCGCTACAAGTTACATCGGTCTGTCAAACCCTGCCGATGAAGTGGTTTGACTGTGACCGCGTTTATGTGTACGCGTTACATCCCTAGCAATTAACCATTTTGTTGTGTGAATGGGCTAGGTCAGTTTTTTACGTTCTATACGAAACCTTTTATAGTTCGTTTCATCCATGAAGACGCGCGGGGTCGAGGGAAGCGCGGGGTGCGGGGAGCATGATTCGACCAATCCGAGCTTCATCGTTGTAGTTTGCGCGCGCACTGACAGACAACTATCCAATAGACATGTTGACACCACCAATCAATTGACGTACTTTTTTAAACTGTCAAAACGAAACTCTCCCATAGATTTTGTATGGCACTACAAGCAAGTGACGTCACTATTTATTCAACTCAATTAAACTACTTTTTTCATTAACAATGCGAACAAAAATCGTACTTTACAGGTAATTTAAAATTAATTAAGTTTTAAGACCAGAATGAAAGGTCTATTTTTTAAATTGTGGTTTTGAATTATTGGGGTATGGTATCAAACTGTCTAATACCGCAACGCTACCAATGCCAACAATGACGCTCGGATTGGTCGGATCAAACTCCCCGCACCCCCCGCTTCCCTCGACCCCGCGCGTCTTCGTGGATGAAACGATCTATAACAATGTACTAATAAATTCCCAAAGCTAGAGTATTTCTCTTATAATCATGGTTATAATCCCATTTTCTTTACCTTTATGACTTCGGGTCCAAGCTCAGCCAATCCCTGCACGGCCCCATAAAGAGAGGCGAGCGGAGTCTTCTCGGACTCCTTCATGCTCGTGACCATAGACGGCCCGACGCCCGTCTCGTTGTTGGTCTGCGACGGGCATTGAAGCGCTTTAGCGAATAATCTGAAACAACAATAAACCACAATATAATCTTAAGCCACGATAGCCGAGCGGTGAAGGGGTCGGACTGACCGACTCATGATACGGGGAACCCGCCGCCGCTCGACTATTGTGGTGAGCTCTGACACAAGCATAATTTAGCTTAGTACGAGGGGCTAACGGGACTATTAGTAACTAGCTGACCCGGCGAACTTTGTTCCGCCTTAATGGCAATAAATAAGCAGACTTTTTTTTTATTTCGAACGGGATACAAAGTATCCTATGTCCTTCTCCTGGCTCTAAACTACCTCCCTGACAATTTTCAGCTAAATCGGTTCAGCCGTTCTTGAGTTATAAGCGAAGTAACTAACACGACTTTCTTTTATATATATAGATTTGTGAAATCCCAACTAATATTATAAATGCGAAAGTAACTCTGTCTGTCTGTCTGTCTGTTACGCTTTCCCGCTTAAACCTCGCAACCGATTTTGATGAAATTTGGCATAGAGATAGTTTGAGTCCCGGGAAAGAACATAGGATAGTTTTTATCCCGGTTTTTGAAACAGGGACGCGCGCGATAAAGTTTTTCTGTGACAGACAAAATTCCACGCGGGCGAAGCCGCGGGCGGAAAGCTAGTAACAAATAAAATACTAATAATCTTTAAAAAAAATATATTATAGGCTGTTGTGACTCAGTAAAAGTATCTTTATGTTACGGAAGTGGAAAGCGCGTATGGAATCGAGGTCATATGCCCAGCGAATTTGATTGAGAAGATAAAATTTAAGCATGTAAAGTCACGATATTTGTGTTTTTGTATATTTTTATTGTATCCCACCGATAAAATGAACTTTTACGACATTCACGAGAAGAGTAGAAGGGGCTAGTTTTCTAAAAAAATTTTTAATCCGTCAAATGAATTATCAAAAAATATTGGACACATGTTTTTTTTATTTGTAAATCAAACAAGTAATAAAATTACGAAGTTATGATGAGTGTCGCGTGACGTCAAGTGCTACACTTTTATGCACTCCTTGACGTCACGGGCCTCTTCTTTGAACTTTGGCGCCCTATATCTCTAAATATTCATTACTTTCAAAAATTGAAAAATACGAGTCGAGTATTTTTTGATAGGTTAACTACCGGACTAATTCAAACTCTCACTTTTTACCCAGGAAACATCCCTATTCTACTATGTAGGCAACATACTGGGACTTCGTTCATGGTGAATATGAGTATAGATCGTTTCATCTACGAAGACGCGCTCCAGCAATTTTTGGTCGAGGTCAGCGCGAGGTGCGGGGAGTTTGATCCCAGCAATTCGAGCGACATATTATAGTGTGCGTGTGCACTCATGGATGATTTAGCGCGTACCGATAACACTCAAACATTACCGGAAGAATGGTGGAGCGCGTTTTCGTGGATGAAACGGTTTATACCTGGTGACCCTCGTCTGCAGGTTGTTGGTGGACGTGTTGAAGGTCTTGCAGATCTGCGCCATGAGCCGCGCGGCGAAGTCTCGCAGCGCCCAGTGGTTGTCCATCTCGGGCCGCAGGCACAGCTGCCGCGACACGATGACGTCACGACGGCGAGGCATGTTACCTGGTGACCCTCGTCTGCAGGTTGTTGGTGGACGTGTTGAAGGTCTTGCAGATCTGCGCCATGAGCCGCGCGGCGAAGTCCCGCAGCGCCCAGTGGTTGTCCATCTCGGGCCGCAGGCACAGCTGCCGCGACACGATGCACGTCGACACAGAGGGGATGAGTTCGTGTAGCTGTGTGCGAAAGATGCAAATTCAATTATAACAAAAAATATTACTCCTAATTACTATGTTAATACTTCATATTAAATGTATCATCTGCATGTAGTAGCAGTAGGATATTATAACTAGCAACCTTGACTTTGCACAGGTAATGCTAAGCTTTCAGAAGATAAAATTTCAATTCACAATATACCACGTTTTTTTTGCATTTGCATAAATTGTGGTCATAAGTGTTAAAACTCCAAAGAATGTATGAAAACTTTATGTTACCTAAACATATTGGAAATAAATAATTATAATACCGGGTCAACTTACATATTTTTCCAAGTACAAAGACTGGTTGTCCAACAATGCCTTTACCATTCTCATCAAATAGATAAGTAATGCTAGGTTGTTTTGTACCACATTCACTTTCACACCCTCCGAGATAAATGTGCACATACGAGGCAACATCTCATGAAGACCAGGATCACAGGCAAGGGACTGTAGTGCTTCCTAAAACAAAAATAATGTATTCGAGTGTAAATAATGGTTATCAACTCGATTAAAACTATAAAAATCAATAAAAAATATCTATTTGGTACCAAAAATAAAACATAACAATCAACATAAGGGCAAAATTCATAGTACTAAATAGGTATATGTAGTTAGTCTTACCGCTCTCCTCCCTTCATCGCTACCGACACAGGCTTCTGTTATTTCCTTATAGTAAAGTTGCTGTTCCACGCTAAGCTCGTGAGTGGCCAATTGCTTCACGTGAACAGACTCGGACGCTTTTAGTCTTGCTGCCTTACCACACATGGGTTTCCCTGAAAAATAATGATATAACATGACTACTCTTTCTTTCAGTCTAATTTCTGGTGTTCCTTACTAAACTGAGATTTAAGGTTCTTTGAGGTAACAATATGCTATGCTTACAACACAGATATAAGGAAAGGAATGTATGGGTTTATTAATTAAAACTCAAATGAAAAATTATTAAAAAGCTAATAACAGCTACTTGTAAAAATCTAAAAGCAATATATCCAGTCTTAATGCCTGTATTATTATCACTCTCCCAAATCAGAAAACAATTATTATTTTTAACTGATCAATATTTGAAAGTTTTGAAACCTACTTTGTCATTCTTAAAAAGGATAAAAAATGAAAATTGTTTATTTATGTATATGTTACGGTCAAAGTGATAAATGTGAAAATTATGAATAATCGCCGGTTATTATGAATAATTACCGCATGATTTGGTAAATGTGATTAATATGAGGTCATTTATGTGTGTATAAAACTAAAGGGCCACCCCCGCCGCAACTTAACCTATTTTTCACTTTAAATTAAAACATTATGTTATAGGCATCATGGAAAAGTAATATTATGCAAGAAACATTCCAAACTCATTATGCCAAATTATATTAATATATGAATCAAAACGTTCAAAAGTTTGGCTGTACATGAACACGTACCTACACAAGATGTTGTTCTTTTTTATGAAATTTGTTAGTACTAAGGTTAAAATATTAAATAATCACTGTTATATGTGATTAATTTATTACTTTTACCGCGACTGTCGGGAATTGAGTCGTCTAGTTTCAAAACCCGCTAAAACGCTCCTGCAACTAATTTCTGTTTATATCTCTAAATGATGCTACTGCAATTTTCTCATCATACTGTTCAATCATTTTCCATCAAAAAGCAATTACTGTTAGTATTGCCAGATGACAATAATAATTCGTATCATATTTTTTTTTGCCTAAGGCCAAAGCTATAAGGATAAGCGGTTTTTTTCAATTTCTCGAAATCTTATCAAAATCGTTTTAGCGGGATTTGAAACTAGACGCCTCAATTATTCATAATAACCGGTTATTATTCATAATTTTCAATTTATCACTTTAACCGTAACATATAGATGCCAATGGTCTTGTAATAAAGTGTTCAGTTTACCTGCAGCATCTTTATTGGTTGGCTTGCTAAGTTTAGTAATAGGGTCAACAGACTCAAGCTTCTGTGCCTCTTTTGAAAGCGGTGGAGGGTTCTCTGGCACCGTGGGCTGCACCCCGTCCACACTTAGCCAATGTGCCCTCACCGATACATCCAGTGGCACTTTAGGCGGTGGGGCAGAGAGTATGTCAGACAAGTCTATCTCTTTCTCTTCAATGAAATGAAGCTCTCTGCCACCACCGGAAGCAAACCTGAATGGAAGTGAATCCGGCTGTATAAATCCATACTGAGGCTGTAATCCATAACAAAACATGAGCTGAATATACTTGCACACCATGAGATATACTATAAAAATAACCAAATAAGCAGCAAATTAGGATCATCTATAAAACAATAAAATAAATCTATTTGTGTGAACTATTGTTGTTTTTTGTGTAGGTAGAGGAAGACTACCAAACAGACTGAAATGCATAATCATTTAATAAAGTCTCATTCTTATGATTCTGGTAGAAAAACTTACCTCAATATTTTTGGTTTTCATTGTGTGATCTATGTCAGTAATGGACAGTCTTTGTCTTTTCGCATGATGCATGAACTTCATTGCATCTTGAACTATCACTTTCAGGCGATATGATACATCATCAGCTAATTCTTTAGCAGCATCGTCTCCAAGGTTTGCTATTCCTATACTCTCCGCTATTACTTTCATGGAATCAAGGGATATTGAAGATCCGTAAGCAAACTCCGAATCGCCCATTTTGGAGCACAACTGATTCTGCTCTTTGATTGTTATTATGAAATTTTGTTACATCAAATGCAACTACCTACATATCAGATGGAAATTTAAAAACACACTTTTATTTGTAAATTGTGAATATTTATTTATTCAAACATTTTACGAGAAAAACAACACACTTGGCTGGGTCACAGCTTGACAAATTGTTTGTCAAAATGTCAACCATATGTATAGTTCCAAAATACTGAACTGTCCTATGCATGACATTGACAGTGGGGCGCCACCGTTCATACCGGATCGCTTGTTCCGATTTTTGCCATGTTGGAAACCATATACTTGAACGATGGTAGCGCCACCCTGTCATTGAGTTTGGTGGGACAGTTCAGCGTGGGTCATCTATATTACTTTTCTCTATGATGTCAACTGTCAACAAGACAAGCAAGAACAGTGGGTCTAGACAAAGTGCAAATTATAATCGCAAACCAGTCGAAAAGTAATCGAAAAGCCCCTTTTTTGTATAGAGTATGGAGCCTAACTGTGTGTCGAGGAGAAGGTAGGTGCAGGTAGATGAGTGAAACTCAGAGTCCAGATTTGAAGTGATCATTTCGTCGGCGTCGTCGAACAACGACGTATCTGAAAAATGTTAAGTTTCCAGGAGAGCGTTTTGAAGTTTTGGAACCGGTTTTTTGTGTCTACAAAAAAAACTACTTGGCTGATCGGTTTCAAATTTGGGGATGTTATAAACATAAAGATGTTATTTTATATAAACTATGTACCCATCTCCAAAAATACTTAGTTTTTTGTAAAAATCACATGCGTCATTGTTCTATGGACAATTTGAGGATGTATGTGATAAACCGTCGTTGTTCTGCGAATTTTTTTAATCAAATATATGACATATGTCACTTTTAGTCATTATTCTACGGAACTTCTGCCATGAGTACCCGTCGGATGATGAAGAAAGTTGGAGGAAATAAATAAAAAACATTGTTTATTAGGTTTCATTATTAATTAATTTATAAATAAAGACAATAGGTATCAAAGAAAATTAACAAAAATCAAGGATAGATAAACCANGCTCCCGCGGTGGGTGTGCGAGCGAGACAGCCTCTCGGACCTCTCGGCCGGAGGTTATAAATATAAGCGGCCTCTTCGCGGCCTATCTCGCAGTACGGCGGCTGACACGATGCGACGTGATGCGACTCCCACAAGAGTTTTGACGGATTCGATTTTCGATTCGATCAAAAAGTGCGTTTTGTCTAGGGGGGCTGTGGGTCTAGACAAAGTGCAAATTATAATCGCAAACCAGTCGATAAGTGGTCGAAAAGCCCCTTTTTTGTATGGAGTTTTGACGGATTCGATTTTCGATTCGATCAAAAAGTGCGTTTTGTCTAGGGGGGCTGTGGGTCTAGACAAAGTGCAAATTATAATCGCAAACCAGTCGAAAAGCCCCTTTTTTGTATGGAGTTTTGACGGATTCGATTTTCGATTCGATCAAAAAGTGCGTTTTGTCTAGGGGGGCTGTATATTTTTTTTAGTCATCATCACCATAGACAAGACAGATTGAAGAATGGAGTCCACCAAAACGGAAATGATTTGTCTGATATTATAATAAATCAGTCAGTCCTTGGCGATGAAAGGGCACTATTTAACTTTAGGTCATACTCTCTAATCTGTGCTATCAACATCTAAATACTTAACAAAATTTTTGAATGTTGACATGCATGTTTTTGTCGATTGTGAAGGGAAAAACACGCGGAGACCCAGTGGGTCTAGACAAAGTGCAAATTATAATCGCAAACCAGTCGAAAAGTAGTCGAAAAGCCCCTTTTTTGTATGGAGTTTTGACGGATTCGATTTAGGGGGGCAGCTTATTAACATCGAGGGAAATCCCAAAAAGAGAGCATGCAAAGTAAGGAGCAATTTACTCTATGGTAAGGAGTATATCATTTTTAGTTTTTTGTTAGCTCTTGAGCTATGATTGAGCTAGATTTAATTTTTTTGTCTAGCAACATTGAAAATAGCTGTGTTGCTATAGTGCAGATATTTCCCTTGTTTAATGGACAATGGAACGCCCCATGGGATTTGATTCTTAATGCATAATTCCTTCTATAAATAGCCAAAAATGATATTCTAATGGATTATAATATGACTAAGCTATGATGCGCACTGTGCGATTGATGGTAAAATAACAAATGTAGTGCTCGCGATCGCTCATCGCGAGACCATAAAAATATTTAAATATGCACCTAAAAACATTAATTGGAGGATATTCAACGTCATTAATGTACGTACCTAATAGGCATGATGACAGTATCAAAAAGTCGTCGATTTAATTACTTTTGGAGAAAATTATTAAAAAAAAAAGTTTTTGGGTTTCAGAGATTCAAGGAAGATACAATTTTATGTGGCAACCCAGGTTAAAAATGTCGAAAAAAACCGAATTTGCCGATCTTTTACCCCACGCGATTTCATCTTGTGCAAGTGAAAAACGGTCAAATTGGTTGCAAATTGGTTTGTGATTTATTGTGAAAATGTATAGAAATAAAAAGGACGTAGATAAACACGTGGAGAATTTGATATCAAAATTATCGGTAAAAGAAGTGAGTATAATCTTTCACATTGCGGTGACGATCATGTTTTCAAGGGTTATGATGGCGTTAATTTTACGATACATTCTTTTCAGTTCAAAACTCGGGCATATTCTATTGCTCGACTCTATTACGAAGTGGGTGACTATGCAAGCTGTCAGAGATATGTTGAGCAATACCTCACCCAGAAAGACAACAACGCAGCGGCGTACAAACTGCTTGGACAAGCATTACAAAAATTGGGACAGAAGGAGAAAGCTCTTGAACAATACAAAACTTCTCTGGATATAGACCCGACACAGACCAGTACGATTTTGGACAGTAAGTAGATTATTAAGTACTTTGTTTTGTAATATTACATTGTGTATTTATGAGGCTAACCTATGGCATGATGCATCATCAGTATCCCTAGCTGGTACCTATATTATTTATAGACAGAACTTTTAGTGTAGTACTAAAATAAACTAACAATATTCGTATTGTTATCACAGTATGTAACATACTTTGTAAAGGCAACTGTTATTGTTAGTGACCAAATCAACTGAGCTGTTATTATTTCCATCGCCTTTATCTCGGGTGCTAAAAGTGAGCAAAGGATCTATGTATGAAATAACTGTTCTTTAAAATTTGCATAATTTTAAATCACTAGTTTAGCATACAAACAATTTATTTTCTTGTGTTTCTTCATGTAGTTTGCTGGAATTAACAGATAAACTGTAAATACTTGCATAAGTTTTACATATTATAATTTAGAGAAATTTTAGTAAATCTGAATGTGTAAATAGGTGAATTATGATCTTGCCTTATAAAAGATTCATTTTTTCTTTTCAGTTTGTGAACTTCTTGTCGACGATGAGGTAAATATAGATCCTGGACGTGCTAGATACTGGTGTGAAAAGGCCGAAGCTATATTCCCAAGACACCCAGTAACATTCAGATTACGTGAGAGACTAGTTACCATGTCGAACCCGGACTCTGAGGCACTCGTTGATCTCTTGACTGCCGAATTAGTGGTCAGGCCTATGGATGCCATACTTCATGCTCGACTTCTGAAGCACTATCTTCATACCAACCAAATAAAAAAAGCAATTGATCACAGTTGTAATGTAGAATTTGGAGGAAAAACATTTCATAACAACTTCGCTTGGTATGAAACCTTAGCTGAGCTTCTCAAACATCATTCCCATAACACTAATGATTGGCTTTATCAGTTACTTTTATTAACAGTCAGAGAACGCATGTGCGTCTTGAGTTTGACAGAAACTCCAAGTGGTCCATCTAAAAGTTTGGTTGAGTCTAATGAACTTCTTTTTCATTATGACCAAGATATTGAGAATGTTGCCAAAGCTGGAGCTACACCTGGTTTTGGTGAATTTCATGCAAGTCTTATGCAGCATCATAGAGGACAATTTGCATTTCATTCTGCTACATTTCTTTTGAAAAAAGCTAAAAAAGACCAGATGACCTGGCGTGACGCCACACAATTTGCAGGTCCTTTGATGCTCATTGCATGGCACTCTGCACCCATAGATTCCAAAGTTAACTGGCTATCAAATGCTCCTGAAAAACAACAACAAGCCGTCAAACGCTGGCATTCTGAAGCTTCATACAGGTGTTCTCAATCTGGACACTATCTAATTTCAAATAGCCAAGATAAAAGCCAGGCTTTTCTGGAACGCATATCTCAATGTTGTTCTGGGACACATTGGAGAGATAAGTTGTATGAGAAAATTTTTACTAACCGAGGTCATTTGAGCAAGATCAAATCATCCCATTTTGCTACATCTAATGCTTTCAGTACACCAACCCTAAGATTGCCAAGAAGAATTGAAGTGGAAGCTATTGATGTTGATGCTCAAAGAGAATATGCAAATTCATTACACCACTTTGTTTGGATGATACTTAATTATAAAAACTATGCTCATTTCAAGTGTACTATATTTGATTCTCTGACACCAAGTGCATCTAACTATGGTCCTGAGTCTTTAAATAAGTTGGATATTCAGTCTTTCCTTTACTTTGCTGCATTAACATCCAAGCAACAAAAATCCAAAGAGACACCTTACATGCCCTCTGATAAACCTGCTGTGATGCCTGCTAACATCACAGATTTGCTGTGTCTCATCCCTCACCTGAAGTGGTGGGAGCTTGCTTACCTTTTTAGCCAGAATAAGTTGGGTGCAGATTTGACAGACATTAGAGCAACACTGAGTAGAGGAATTGAAGTAGTAAGATGTGTTGACAATCATGGCTTAGATCCAGAACTGCTGTGTATAGTAGCTCACATTTTCAGTGAACGAGCCAAGCTTACTACTGCTGTTGAGGAGAAGAACAATTTGGAGAAAAGAGCAGGTTTATACTATTCTTCAGCTATACCTCTTCTAGAGAAACTAAAAAGCAAACTAGTCATAAAATTACCTGAAAAAAGGTTATTTGACTATACACACAAAGAACTCAGCTCCAAAGATCTGAATTCTTTGATTGAGGAAAGCAAACTTTTTGTAGCATTGAATTACATAAATGATTCCGAATATGACAGAGCCATTGAATTACTTTCAAATTTAAAATCGCCTGAAGCATTTTATCATCTGAGCCAAACATACAGAAAAATTGCCTTGGAAGAAAA